CGAGGCGGAAGGAGGGAGCGGGGTCGGCGCAAAACTTTCCACTTGGTTGTTTGTGTTTGGCGCTGAAATTTCCGCCTTTCCGCGGATTTGTTCCCCCAAGAAAACCCAATCGCGAAATTGTTTCACATCGCCAACTTTGTGCGAACTCATCGCACATGTGTTTGGGGGAAAACCACACTTCGCTCTCAAGTCATCGCGCACCAAAGGGTGTGCACCTAGATTACCCCCCAAAACCCCCTTTTAGTAAGTAGACCGCAGCTTTAACAAGCATTTTATCCCAGTGGTCTAGTGGCTGGGATGTGACACGCACCTACCACCATTAAAGCGGGGGTAACCCCGTTTACGTGCGGGACAAAGGTATGTGGCAACCCCCAACCCGTTTCAGCCAAAACAACACATTTGAATGTGTACCCTCGCTTTGATTTATCAAGGCCCACCCAAAGGGCATGGAACCTTTTTACCGACCAACATCCACCAGGCTTGATTAGGGTCGTTATTTGTGAAGCTGGCCACTTGTTTGTGAAGCCCGCCACTTGTTTGTGAAGCCCAACAATTCCGGCCGAAACAGTTGATAATAAAATGTTCCACACGTAATGAAGCAACACAATGCCCAACGAAGATTGTAGATGCTAGCCATGATTTATTTGTTTACAGCATGGACCCTTCATAAATATGCACATGGTCAGTCCCAGATGTGAACCCTATTCCTTATGCATTAAATCACGTGTGCAATCATCACAGCCCCATAAATATTTTTGTTGTGAAGACCACGAAAGTGGAAGATATGAGCTACAACACACACACACATACACACACACACACACACACACACACAGACACTCACACACACATACACACACATATACATACACACATACACATATACACACACACATACACACACACACACACATATACACACATACAAACAGAAACGCACGCACGCAAGCACGCATGCAAGAACGCATGCATGTACACACACACACACACACACACACACACACACACGAGCAAACACACACACACGCGTGCTCGCTCGCACGCACACACATACACACACATACACACACACGCACACACGCGCGCGCGCATGCACATATACACACACATACCAGTATTCACATTGACTACAACCAGCACGAGATAATCCACATGTTAGTCCCCTATTTTTAGCCCGAAGCAACTTGATGAAGATGATGCCTTTTGGGTGATGCAGCCAAGTAGGTAAGGGGCCCGCTCGTTTTTCGTTATTTGGGTTCGTTTGACGCGATTTAAGATGACCATCTGCAAACTAACCAAAATACAACGCCCTTGGAATTCAAGTAGTCACCACTGTATATCTCAACGAACAAGCCGACGACGCTCTCTTTTGCCTGCGACGACGCAAAAGGCCGATGTTTTCACATGCGTCAACCTGCCCGGGGAAACAAAATACTAAAGCTCGTTGGGAAAGGCATGCAATATGGGCGACATCAACCCTAAGGACGTGGTGCATAACGCATTGGCACGCCATGGTACGGGGCGGTGCACCGGGTTTTGAAGCTTCCATGTACTCGGGAACCCGGTGCACAGCATCGCCGTGGCACGACCCAGGGCGTTCTCAGGCGCGGGCCAGCTCACACCCAATCCTCGCGATGTTAGCGAGGTCAACGCTACAAATAGACGAAGTTTCATGATACACGCTGCAACTTTACTCTTTCGCCCACGAAGGTTCTTTCAATTCAAATTACTCGCTAGCGTGTTCGCTATCTCGCAAATTGTTTCCCTGTCACGTCTGAATTGTTTTGATGTTCCTTTTATTACGGGCAGCACGCTGAGCAGGAGCGGGGAGCTTGTCTAGCAGCCTCCATCTGGACACTGAGAAACTTCCCTGTATATTTTCTCTCGCCCGAGTCGCGCACAATGGCACGTGCTGGGGCGCGTCATCGCGTGCCAGCACGGAGCAATGTACTACTGGTTTTGCCGGTTTTACCGATTCTCCAACTCATCCTAACACAGTTCCTTATAGCCTTCAAAATTTCCAGAGGCAGAGGAAGAAGCAATCAGTGAAAAAACAACAACGGTCGGCCTCTCATATCAAGCTGGCCACCCGATTATGCTGTGAAGAATAGAACGAGGAATGAATGAACTAGCAAACGGGTGGGTACAAGTAGGAAAACCTAGAAGTGTTGTACCCCATATGAACTACCCCACTACAGCCTACACAGACTATAGCATATAAGTTTGACACACCCCCATAGGCAAAGTGGGGGAGAACAAGAGGTCACAAGACCAGTCAAGAAAGGCAAAGCAAGCTCAGGGTGGATCACGACGTCACCACGCATTCTGAGCACAAGCAAATGGCCACAAGGCCAGTTCACATGCAGAGTTATATAAAGGAGAACAAGCAATACAGTGATCACAACCTAGCAAGTGTAAGCATGCAGGTATATGTATAGAGATCACAGTACAAGCAGAGTCACAAGGCCTAGAACAGTACAGAAACGCTTATGATCACAAGGCTGAAGTGCCTTGGTGAACACATCAGCAGTGTTGGCCCGAGTGGCCACGTAAGCAAGACGAAGCTGACCCCGCTGCTACAAATCTCGAGCAAGGAAGTAGCGCAGAGCGATGTGCTTCGTTCTGTGCTCCAGTCTGTGCCCTTGACACAAGGCAATCATGGCCTTGTTGTCGACGTACAGCACTGGAGGAGAACGAGGCAGCTCTCCCAGGTCGGTCAGCAGGTAGGTGAGCCAGCGTAACTCCTGTGCAGCCATGGCCCCTGCGTAGATCTCAGCCTCACAGTTGGAGCTGAGAACAGAAGACGAGCGGGTAGACCGCCAAGAAACAGAACCGGAGCCAAGGCTGAAGGTGTAACCCTGTGACGACCGCTGTGTAGCCAAGTCGTCAGCCCAGGAAGCATTTGCGTGACCAGTGAGGACAACTCGAGCCCGTCCTCCAAGCACGAGCCCCATGCCCGACGTACTGCACAAGTAGCGCAACACCCTCTTAGCGGCATCCATGTGCTCCTTCCGGTGTCTCCCAGGAGCGACATAGCATGCCAGAATGCTAAGGGGGTAGGCAAGGTCAGGTCGAGTGCAGGTCATCGGGTACATGAGGCAGCTCACAAGCTCTGGGTACAAACCACTCGGCTCTACGGACTCGTCCGAAGGTGGAGCTGAGAGCGAGTGGCGAGAAGGCAGGGGAGTGTGCTGTGGCGAGGAGTACGTGAAGCCAAAGCGCTGAAGGACCTGCTGCACCATGTGTGACTGAGTCAAGGTAATGGTGCGCTGTGCTCTGTCCCGGGTGATCCGCAAGCCAAGATAGCTGGTCAGCTCACCCAGGTCTGTGCACGTGTGTCTCTTCTGCAGCTCCGACTTCACGTGGGCGAGTCCCTCAGTGTCAGAAGTAGCAAAGACCAAGTCGTCGACGTACACGAGAACATAGAACGGCGGCAGAGAGGTCTCGGTGCGTAGAAACAGCGACGGGTCAGCAGTGGAAGGAGCAAACCCAAGAGCAGCAAGAGTCGTCCTCAGTGTGTCGTGCCACTCACGGGGCGCCTGGCGGAGACCGTAGACTGGCCGCCGGAGGCTCCACTGGGTACCAGCAGGAAACGACCCAGTGAAGCCAGGTGGGCGGCGCAGCCAGATCTCTTCGTGTAGGCTGCCCTGTAGGAAAGCAGTGCTGAAGTCAAGAGAGTGAAGCTCGTAGTCACGCTGAGCGGCGACGTGCAGCAGAACCCGAAGAGTGGTCATCTTCGGGGTAGGGGAGAAGGTCTAGAAGAAGTCAACTCCCTCTCGCTGACTGAAGCCTCGTGCAACGTAACGCGCCTTGAAGACAGGCGGAGAACCCGGCGGTCGCTTCACCCTGAAAATCCACATGCCACTGACGATGTCCGCCCCAGGCGGGGGAACCTCGTCGACGTAGGTGCCTGTGGACTTCCAGGAAGCCATCTCTGCGTCCATGGCTGTCTGCCACTGAGAGGAGCCTCTATCGCCTCTGCGTAAGAGTGCGGGGTCGGGATTTCTGGTGCATCCGGGTCTCCCTCAGGTGCAAGCAGCATGGACACGAGATGAGGTAAAGCAGCGGCAAAGCACTCAAACTCCTCCTGTCTGTCCTCAAGGACGTCCGTGCCAAGAGCACACTCAACCCCGATGGACGGAGGACAGACAGACTCAGACGCAGACTCAGCAACAAGACTAGCGGCATAGTCTAGACGACAGGCGGCAGCAAAGTCAACAAGCTCAGCAACTAGAGCAGACGCAGCAGTGGACTCAAACGAAGGGTCAGTGACAACAGTGGCCAGGAGACGCATGACACTAGGACTAACAGCACGAAGGGAGTCAGACTTCGGGTCCGGACCGTCAGGAAGAGAGGACGCAGGAGGAGACGGCAGAGGGACACGCTGCGGAGCAGTGGAAGGACGAAGTGCCATCAGGTGTGTGCCGGGGACAGCAGAAGGACGCTGACGCGGAACACGACGACCAGTGCGAGCAGCACGAATAGGCGACTCAGGACGAGACTCAGGCGACGCAGGACGAGACTCAGGCTCACGACGCTCCGTAAGACCTCTAGTCGGCCCAGAGTAAGGAGAAGGACCAGGCAGCGGAGAGGCTGGCTGTAACTGCGACTGCGACTGGTCAGGCGGTGGACGCAGTAAGGGAGGAGTAGGACCAGTAGAAGGCGGGAGGCCAAGAACCTGCTGAAGGAGCGGAACGTAGTACGGCCGCGGCCGCGCAGCGCCTCCAGAAACAGCAGAGACAGCACCAGTACCCCCAGCTCCAGGGTCTCCAACTCCAACTCCCGCAGCACCACCAGCTCCAGCACCTCCAGCAGCTCCAACTCCCGCAGCACCTCCAGCAGCAACAGCTCCAGCACCTCCAGCTCGACCTCCTGCAGCACCACCAGCCCCAGCAGCTCCAGTACCTCCAGTACGAGCACCTCCGGGACCAGCGGCTCCAGCACCTCCAGTAGCTCCAGCACCAGCAGTACCCCCAACAGCTCCAGCAGCTCCAGCTCCTCTAGCAGCTCCAGCACCAGCAACACCTCCAGCAGCTCCCGCTCCAGCAACACCTCGCTGGCGTCTCCAGCGGCGAGCAAACCACTCGCGCAGCTCCGGTGGAGAGAGAGGCTCCCGCCGAGACGAGGCACCTGCAGGAACTCCAGCAGACTCAGCACCCCCAGTCTCAGCAACCGCAGGCTCAACACCCCCAGACTCAGCACCCCCAAGCTCAGCACCCCCAGGCTCCACACCCTCAGACTCAGCAACCCCAGGCTCAGCACCCCCAGACTCCACACGCTCAGGCTCAGCACCCCCAGGCTCCACACGCTCAGGCTCAGCACCCCCAGGCTCCGCACGCTCAGGCTCAGCACCCCCAGGCTCCTCACGCTCAGGCTCAGCACCCCCAGCAGCACCACCCCCAGTAGCAGCACCAGAGTCAACCGCTACCTCGACAGGCTCGACGGCGTCTACCTGGGACACACCTGAGGGAGCAGGATCCTGAGGGGGGAGGGGGTCTACCGGAGGAGGACCTGGTGCAAGGAAGAGCGGCGGGGGGGGGAGAGAAGCAGTGCGGTAGGGGAAGAGACGGTAAAAGGGAGCCGGCTCGTCGAACGTGACATCATGAGAGGGCAGGATACGGCGCGAGGTGGGGTGGTAAAACTGCCAGCCAGGCGCGTCAGGGACAAAGCCAAGGAAGACGCAGGGAATAGCACGGGCGGAGAGCTTGTCCGCGGTAGTATCGTGGACAAAGGCACGAGAACCCCAGACCCGAAACACTGACGCATCGCCAACCTTCCCCGTCCAACGCAGTGTGGGCGAGGTCTCCGGCAAGGAGACACGGGGCCAGAGGTTGAGCTGATGCGCAGCGTATCGGACCGCAAACGGCCACAGAAAATGGGGGGCAGCCGCACGGACCATGGAGGTACGAGCGACCTCCATGACTAAGCCAATGCGGCGCTCAGCAATCCCATTCTGCTGCGGTGAGGCCGGGAGCGTGAACGTCTGGCGAATGCCCTTCCCACGACAAAAGTCCCGCAGAAAGTCAGAGGCAAACTCACCACCTCTGTCAGAGTGCAGACGCAGGACGGGAAAGTCCGTCCCAAACCGCTCGCGGAGCTGGAGACGGGCAGCGCGGATCCAGGGGATCAAAACATCAGGGACCTCACCCTTGGTGCGCAAGGGGAAGATCGTGGTGTAACGCGTGTAGTCATCAACGACCAGCAAAAAGTATCGCTCGCGGTCCTGTCCACGAACGCGGGCTGGGCCCCACACATCCATGTGGAGGGTCTGCAGGGGAGCAGTCGTCGGGGGGAACGAGGAGGAGTGAGGAACGGCGCACTGCCGCCCCTCGACACAGGGAAGGCAGGGAGGGGCAGGCGAGGGTGGGAGAGGAGGCAGAGTCTCTGGAAGTCCAGAGACAAGGAAACGTCGGTGCATGCCACGAAGGCGCTGTACCGAGGGGTGACAAAGACGGTGGTGCCAAAGGACGGTCTGGTGCGACAGAGCGCGACACGAGCAGGGGGCCGCTAGCTGACCTGACGCAAACGCAGGCGCAGACGTAGCTATCGGGGGGGACACAGTAGTCAGTGTGTACAGACTCGAGCCAGGCGCACGGGTGAACGTGGCCAGGTGCCGACCAGTTCGGGAGCACGTACAGTGGGTCACACGCTGACCTCCAGGAGTGAACTGGTCAACCCACACATCCTGGAGGTCAGCTCCACTCACCAAGTTCGTAGAGAACGAGGGGAGGTGAAGACCTGACAGTGAGCCAGACGGGACAGCCAGACACTGCAGGACCGTGGAGGAGTGTGCAAGGACGGGGCCCCCAGAGGGGTCCGCCAGGGAGACTGCAACCGGCCGACTGAGCGGCGTGAGTGTGGTGCTGTCGCGAAAGAAGGAGCGGGAAGCACCTGAGTCAAGTGTGAAGGTGTGCAAGGCCTCGGCAGGCGCAGTACGTGAGAGAGCAGACTCACCAGCACCTGGAGCAGTAGACTCACTAGCAACTAGAGCAGCAGCCTCACCAGCACCTAGAGCAGTAGACTCTATACCTGGGTTGGGCGGCACACACAGGTAACAGTCACCCTCAGCACTAGTAGACACAGCATACATGGCAGCAAGGATAGCATCAAAGTCTAGAGCAAAGATATCAACATTCTGCCTGAGCAGATCAGCCCAGCTAGGGAGCTCAGGAGCATCAGGAAACTGCGCACGCCAGGCGTCAGACAGGCGACCGAAACAGCGCTGCGACGTGTGCGGCCCTCCGCACGTCTCCCCACGGGGCCCGCCGGTGCGGAGAACGTAAGTGCAGGGACCAGCACCCCCAGACCTCCCACGCCCAGCGTGCCACTCATGAAGCTGCTGAGGCGACGGGGTCTCACGGGAACGCTGCTGCTGCTGGCGATGGCTACCGCCGAAGCCTCCACGCTGTGCAGCTCCACCCCAACCAGTACCACCGCCGCCGCCGCCTCCACCACCGCTGCCGCTGCCTCCACCACCGCTGCTGCTACCTCCACCACCTCCACCGCCACCACCGACACCCCCACCCCCGCCACCACCCTTGCCCCCACCCCCACCCCCTCCGCCTCCTCCACCGCCACCACCGCCGCCCCCGTCGTCCCCTCCACCACCCTTGCCCCCCTTGCCCTTGCCGCTGCGGCGCCTCTCACTAGGAGTAGACGCAGCCCCGACCTGCTCGGTGCCAACGAGGTCGACACCAGCAGCAGAAGCAACTGAGGGCAGAAGGGGAACGGGGGAACACCCCTCAAAGAAAGGGGCGCGAGGGTCGCCGCGAGAAACACATACAACAACTATACTCTTCTCAGCTGCAGTGAGGCGCTCCTCCAGCAGGTCAACGGTGAGCTCGGTGGGGCAAAGAGAGAGAAAGTGGTCCCTGACTGAGCAAAGGGAGTCAGGGAGACGGGTGACTAGGTAGAAGAGGGTGATGTACATGGGGGGGGGTTCTTGGCGCAGAACTCGGAGGGAAGGGCAGCGCGGTAGCGGGCGTCACTAGTGCAGAGGTAGGTAATGAGGTCAGCGACTGTGGCAAAGGCGGCAAGGTCAGGGAACAGGTACGGTAGCATGAGGCGGCTGAGGGCAGCAGTGGCAGGGGAGGAGTAGCGCGCTACGACAGCATCATACAAAGACTTAGCAGTCTTGTACTGGCCAAAGTGCGCACGCTCAGCAGAAGGCAGGTGACTACGAACAGCAAGGCGAGCAACAGCGTCACGAGTAGTCCACTGCGAGCGAACTGTACTGTCAGCAGTGGCAGCAGGTGCAGTAGAGGTGCCAGACGTGAGATCAAAAAGCGAGACTCCGTCCTTGCTATCACACTGAAGAAACAGCTGCAGTTCATCTACCCAGACATTGAAGTCAACTGCACGACCCTCACCATCGAAGGTAAGAACCGTAGGGCTAGCCATGGCGGCAGTAGCAGCAGTGGCAGCAGAAACAGTGCGGGCACGGCAGCGCGGCTCGGTAGGGCAGTGTGGCGCGGCTCGGCTCGGCGGCTCGGCTCGGCGGAGCGGCGCGGCTCGGCTGGGCGGCGCGGCTCGGCCGGCAGGCAGGCGCGGGTAGCGCGCGTAGGGCAGGTGCTCACCAGGGGCGGGCAGGGCAGGCGCGACGGCGGGGCCGCTACGGCTGCGACGGCGGCGGCCGCGACGGTGAGGCCGCGACGGTGACAGGGCATGGCAGGACGCGACGGCGAGGTCGCGACGGTGGCAGCAGGCGCGACGGCGGAGACGGCAGGGCCGCGACGGCGGCTGCAGGTCAGGGGCCGCGACGGCTGCTGCAGGTCAGGGGCCGCGACGTGGGGCGGCAGGGCAGGGCCGCGACGGAGGGCAGCAGGCAGGGCCGCGACGTAGGGCGGCAGGGCAGGGCCGCGACGGGCGGCAAAGCAAGGCCGCGACGGGCGGCGGGTCAGGCCGCGAAGGGCGGCGACAAGGCAGGGCCGCGACGGGCGGCTAGGGCAGGGTCGCGACTAGCGACAGCAGGGCAGGGCGCGCGACGGCGCAGGTGAGGCAGGCGCGACAGCGCGCTTCGGGCAGGTAGGAAAAAAAATTCAGTGGTGGGCCCTTAAAAAAAAACGTTCGCACTAGGGAACCTGCTCTGAAACCATGTGAAGAATAGAACGAGGAATGAATGAACTAGCAAACAGGTGGGTACAAGGAAAACCTAGAAGTGTTGTACCCCATATGAACTACCCCACTACAGCCTACACAGACTATAGCATATAAGTTTGACATATGCTTCCTTGTTTTTGATCCCAACGGGAACCCTTTTATTCACCCAGATCGCCGCTCCTACTGTTTGCTCGGAGACCTCTTTTGCCCCTCTTAGGCCTTTCCCCTTTCATCATAGAGCGCTCCCCAGCCTTGCAGGAGGTTATCAGTTGGATAATGAAATAACGTGATTCTACATACGCATTTGGGCTGTTGGTTTGTGTAGACATTTTTTTTCAGCAGGAAAATATGCAAAAGTACGTATTATGGGGCAAAAAAACGCTTACAATCACCGTAATATTGAGTTTTCACGCGTTTGGTAACTCGCTCCACGTGTTTGGTAACTCCCTTCACGCATTTGGGAACTCAACACGGGCAGATGATCACGCGAATGGTAACAAGAAAAAAACTCCACCCGAAATGACCCTACGTTGAATGCATTTATGCGCGAAGGGCTGTAACACATCATTTTAAATTCTAATGAGTGCTCTCGCACCGTTCTCTGATAAGGAGAATTCTTGTTTTTTTTTTCCCCAGTCCCTTATTTTTCTGGGCTGGTTCATCATATTTTGTGAAATCAAATAAATATCATACTTCAAATTTGGTATAATCTACTATGTTTAATACAAAACGCTAGGTTCCTAAGTGCGAATATTCCAACATCGTTTAATTAAACAAGTGGGAAAAATATACCCCTCTTGCATGGCATGCATGTCGAGAGGAACAAACCCTAAACTCATTGCGCAAGATGTTTAGGGTTGATAACATAAGAAATGCATGCTGTCGGAAAATGTAGTATACTTCCTGCCCTGTATAAATTAAGTATACACATATAAAAATGCTAACAACACCTGGAAAAATACACCTCGAAATAATAACAATTTTTACATTACAAATGCGCTGTGTGTTTTACAGTTTTAGCAGATACAGTAGAAGTATACACAATCAAGATTCTCGAAAATACATACAGTTCCGGTCGATCGAAATAAACATAATCAAGAATTTCGAAACAACCTGCAACATGATCTGCTAAATCAAAATACATTGAAGTGAAATCAACAAGTGTAATTTACTTTCAGTTTAAGAAAGTGAGTATAACGTGATTCATCGATTAGGTTGGCACGAGCGGGAAAATCCCAAACTTGAGAAGAAACGAGGAATGAGAATGACTAAGGGGAAGTTGGGTACAAATGCAAACCCTAGAAAACTGTACCCCATATGTGCTACCCCACTATAGCCTACAGTAGCTCTGTCATATAAATCTGACACACCCCCATAGACAAAGTGGGGGAGAACAAGGGGTCACAAGACCAGTCAAGCAAAGCAAAGCAAGCTCAGGGTGGATCACAAAGTCACCACACATTCCGAGCACAGGTTCAAGGCCACAAGGCCAGTTCACATGCACGATTACATATATATATAAGGCTAGACAAGCAAGAGCAGGTGTATATATATATGCAACAGTACAAACAAGGTCAAGGGGTGAGCAAGTGAGGCAAGGTAGGCACAAGGCCCAGCTGAGTACAGAAACGCTGATGATCACAAGGCGCAAGTGCCTTGGTGAAGATATCAGCAGTGTTGGCCTGAGAGGCCACGTACGCAAGCCGCAGCTGACCACGCTGCTGTAGCTCACGAGCAAGGAAGTAGCGGAGAGCAATGTGCTTCGTTCTGTGCTCCAGTCTCTGCTCTCGACACAAGGCCAGCATGGCCTTGTTGTCTACGTACAGCACTGGAGGAGAACGAGGCGGCTCTCCGAGGTCAGTCAGCAGGTAGGTGAGCCAGCGAAGCTCCTATGCAGCCATGGCCCCGGCGTAGATCTCAGCCTCACAACTGGAGCCGAGAACAGAAGACGAGCGGGTAGCCCGCCACGAAACAGAGCCGGAACCAAGGCTGAAGGTGTAACCCTGTGACGACCGCTGCGTAGCCTGGTCGTCAGCCCAAGAAGCGTCTGCGTGCCCAGTGAGGACCACTGGACTCTGCCCTCCAAGCACAAGCCCCATGCCCGACGTACTGCACAAGTAGCGCAACACCCTCTTTGCTGCAGCCATGTGCTCCGGTCTGTGTCTCCCAGGAGCAACATAGCGTGCGAGAATGCTAAGAGGGTATGCAAGGTCAGGTCGTGTGCAGGTCATCAGGTACATGAGGCAGCCAACAAGCTCTGGGTACGGGCCACTCGACTCTACAGACTCATCCGAAGGCAGAGCTGAGAGCGAGTGGCGA